CATGCGTCTGGGATTAATTGGGACATTCTCAGATCAGAAAGCTAATCACATGTCTCAATTTTATAGTCCTTAATTTCAAATTCCCTGTTTACCCTAAGACCTCTGGGGAAGGCACACAAAAGAGATTCAACTTCAAATTTGGATGATAGGTTGATTTTTTTTTTTCATTTTGTTCTTTCACTCTAAAACTATGTCTTCTCCTAAAATCCAGAGCTCTCAGAATGTCCCCTCTGATGAACGTCAAAGTCTTGGGGAAAGTGAGTCACAGGTAGAATGGTGAAACACACAGGTCGTTGTCAAATGCCTTGGTGAATACTTCCTAGGTGTGGACAACTCTCAGGTAGATAATTCCATGTCCTCAAAGTAACCCAAGAGGCAGGGACTCCATCGTGAACATTTGACTTAAAGAGACAGAGGTTCCACTTAAGCGCCAGGGATGGATTAACATTCCCAGTGCCATAGAGCTGCTAAGTAGCAGGGTAGACTTCCATGCCTGTCTTCATGTCCCAAGTGGACTCCATCTTCAATTGTATGTAGTTGTCATGCCTCAACCTGCAGTCACACTTTGTCCTTCTGTCCATACATAACTGGCTTTAAATATTCTCCGAGCTTCCTCTCCACTCAGCTCCTTCTTCAGTCCCCCCAGATTCAAGTTGTTCTGCCCATAGGAAAGGCTCAAATACATGTCTTCTCAAAAGAGGCTTTCTCTGTCCCCCCTGAACCAAGACCCTAGTGCTCCGGGCACCCTGCCCCCATCCCAGTCTAACACACCCTGTTTAATTACCTGCCATGGTCTCTCTTGCCACCACGACATTGAAAGCCCATCTGGGCCAGGACCATGATCTCAGCATGTAGCCTAGGCCCTGGAAGATGATAGTTGATCAACAGATACTTTTGGAATAATGTAAGGAGTGTGCAGTGTGTACCTAATTCTGTGAAGATGCAACAAGTCTTGGTTATCCCCTCCCAGGTAACTTTGCATTTTATGGAGCATACTTCTTTCTCTCATAAAAATGAAATCTGTAGGGAGTTGAAATGGAGTAAGTGACTAATTTGTGTAAGAAACCACAGGAAATAAATCAGAATGAGGGGAATTAATTATAGGCCTTAGGCATTGGACATGTAATATGTGCCAGGTATTAGGCTTAGCACTTTGCAAGCATGAGTCCAGTAATTTTCTACACAACTCCATGGGGCATTAGTACTATTATCTTCATTTTACAGATGGGAAACTGAGGCTTAGAAAGATTAAGTAACTTTCCCTGGCCAAGGCAAATTACAAATTATGAGTCTGGGATTCAAACAGGCCAGTCGATAGTCCTTGATATCATGTTGTTGATAGTTTCACTAAGAAATGGACAAGCTCACATTGTGCTTAACTTTCTCCAGATTCACTGGCATTCATTCATTTGTTCATTCACTCATTCAGTCATTCATCCACAGGGTTAAAAATATCCAAGGAAAATTTTGTATTTACCACTGTACTGTCAAATACCACTGTATTTACCACTCTACCACTGTAGAGAATATAAGATAAAGTGTAAAGATTTGTGTTCTTTTTTTTAAATTTTTATTTATGATAGTCACACACACACACACAGAGAGAGAGAGAGAGAGAGAGAGAGAGAGGCAGAGACACAGGCAGAGGGAGAAGCAGGCTCCATGCACCAGGAGCCCAATGTGGGATTCGATCCCGGGTCTCCAGGATCGCGCCCTGGGCCAAAGGCAGGCACTAAACCGCTGCGCCACCCAGGGATCCCAAGATTTGTGTTCTTAAACAGTTTCTGTATCATGGTGGGATGGATAAATCAGGGATATATAAAGTGTCACAGTTGTGTTTTCAATAGGTAAGAATTCATTAAGATAATGGTGGAAAGTAAGGCAGAGGAGAGTTAACCATCAGGTTGTAATGCAAATGATATAATGAGTGCTTGTTAATCCAGATTTATTAAGAATCACTTATATTCCCCACATATTTGGGGAATATGCTGAATTTAAGATAATGAGTAAGGGCCAGCTGAATGACAAGCGTCCTACTTTTAGTTTTGGCTGAGGTCATGATCTCAGGGTCCTGAGATTGAGCCCAACGTAGGGCTCCATGCTCAGTGAAGAGTCTGCTTAATGATTCTTTCCCTCTCCTGCTTCCTCTCCCCCTACTCAAGCACTATATCTCTAAAATAAATAATTTTGGATGGCTCAGTAGTTGAGCATCTGCCTTCAGCTCAGGTAGTAATCCTGGGTCCAGCGATTGAGTCCCACAGCAGACTCCCTGCAAGGAGCCCACTTCACCCTCTATGTCTCTGCCTCTTTCTTTGTGCCTCTCTTGAATAAATAAATAAATAAATAAATAAATAAATAAATATTTTTACAACTAACTAAATAAATAAATAGATAATCTTGAAAAATAAATAAAGTAAAAAATGAGCAAAAGCAGACAAGGACCTTGCCTTCTGAAGCTGACAATCTGGAGATGATAAAATCATTAATCAAAGTTATTTAGAAAACACAATTTAATTCATGCAAGGAAAAGGGAGGAAAAGATAAATAACATATTTTAGAAATACAAAGGAAGTTGTTAGAAAATAGATCTAAGTATGTATATTCACAATAAATTATGAAACTCAGCAATTAAAGGACTAAGAACCTGAAAGCAAAAAGGTAAAAATACATATAATGGGCAACAATTAACAAAAACAATGAAAAATACTGCTGGAGAAATATGAATATAGACAAAAACACTTCAAATCTTAATCACCAAAGATGGGATAGAAAATGCAAAATGCTAAAAGGGATAATGCTAGTTCATTACTGTACATGATTTAATAAAAGAGGAAAAATACAAAGGAGGAAAAACAAATCCATAAACATCTCTCTCGTTTTTTATATATGAAGCAATTAAACATTTGTAGGCATTCTGAAGATATATGTAAAAATTAACTAGATTGACTTAGAATTCATAGAATTTTGCTGTGCTCAGCCTATCTCTTCTGAGAGTGTTTTTTTGACATCATTGACTTCCAGAACTAGTAGTCTCAGAAGAAAAAGCCGAAGGTGAGCAGTAGGGTGCCATGACATGGATGAATGTACAAATTGCTCAGTGGGATTGGACCACTTCTAATGCCTGAAGAGGGAAAAACATAACACTTCACTTTTGTTGCTATTTTCCTGTGAACTCTTACATCTGCATGTGGCAGATTCAGGTTTGGGAATCGGACCAGCCTGGGAAGAAAGAAAGGATGAGCAAGGCATGCACAACTGATGACAAATTGCAACACATGCCAACCCCCCTGGGTAAAGAAGCCCTGTGATGGCAAGTACCAAACAAAAGGGCAGACACAGAGCTCAGTAGAGACTACGAATAGCTTTTTTTTCTTGTTCATTCTCATAGCCACACCTTTGGCACAATGAAGTGGTACCTGTGCCTTCTGGGAAGATAACAGGCCTGAAATCTGGAGAATAAAGTATTTCTATACGTCTTAATTGTATCTTCTCTCAGAGATGCTTCAAGAATATTCTCCAGTGTTCAAACTTCCAGAAAAAGGGGTGATAAAACTATTTTTATAAATATAGTCTACTACATTGAGGTCCTACAAGAGAGAACCAGAAACAGACTGACACAAATATGAAAGCTTGATACATGACAGAATTTTCACTCAAATCTTAACGAGAAATGAATGGAGTCTTTTTTAAAAAATATAAAACAAATTTCTTTCACTAAAGATCAGAATTAAAGACTGTTTTGCAACATTTATAATACCAGCAAAAATAAAGACTTAAACATGAAATGTTTCAAAGCATTGAAAGAAAATACAGGAGAATATCTTTATAATAGGAAAGAGTTGTTTCAACAAGACATACAAAGCAAAACCATAAAGGAACATTAAAATTTGAAGTCTGTTAAAATGAAAAATTTCTATCCCACCAAGTGTGTCTGGCACAAAGTGAAGTACAAGCTACAAACAGGTTGAAGCATCGACATTGCAGATATCATTAAAAGGTTAGTACCTGGTAGACAATATGAAAGCAGCTACTACAAATGTATGGAATAAAGATAAAACAACCCACCTGAACAAAGAACAAAGAATATAGACATACAACTAAAAAAAAGGAAAAGAAAGAAAACTCTGCCATTAGCATCAAAGCACTTAAAAACACTTCACATCCCTTATGAAGCCATTTTACACTGATCAGATTGGAAGACATTTTGAAAGCCTAGCAATATATAGTATTGGCAAGAATATGGAGTGAAGACCAATCTCACACAGCGTTTGCAGGAAAGCACATTGGTAGAGCAATTTGGCAATATCTCCTAAATTTAAAGATGCTCTTTTCTTATGAACCAGAAATTACCTTCCAAGGAGTGTACATGAGAGGATCTCTTGAAATGGTACATACTGAAAATTTCAAAGGAAAATGTCTTCCTAGATTTTCATATTATCCAGGAACAAGAAAAATCATTAACAGAATGGATAGAGCATCTGTGGTATATTTATATACTGATATAGACTATCTGAGTGAAAATGATGCTACATAATTCAGCATGGATGAATCTAACAATATTTCATGAAAATAGAATAACTTACAGGAGAGCATGATTTCATTTACAACAAGTTTAAATGTACCAAAATAATTTTATGTAATTCTGTGGATACATAAAGACCAGCAAATATTAGAAGTCTACTTAGGGATTAAAAAAATACAAAACATTAAATTCAATGAGAGGTTAGTGCAGGCAAAGGAGAGAGGAACATAGTCAGGGAGGGCTCAATTTGAAAATATTTGATTATGTCAAATGTCTGAAGCAAAATTGGCATAGGTGAAGACAATAATGATTAGTTTCCTTGCATAGGTTGTCTTTACATTATTTTCTATTTCTTAATATAAAATGGAAATAGTTCATAATGACACATTTAAAATGACCACTAAATCACTTTTATTATGGGAATGAATATTGATATAAAAACAATCTATAAGGAAAGTTGCCAATCTATCAAAAGTCTTATGAATGAGGATATCATTAGAACAGATTTATTGTTCTAAATACTGTTTAGAGCAAAATCTGAGATACACAAAGACAATCATTGTTATGTGATTTCTATGAAGAGAAAAAGGGAAATAAAATTTTCACCTATGGTGATTGAGAAGGTTCTGGATATTAGTTTGGAAATTGTTAAAAACTAAAATCTCAAATAGTCATTGACATAGGATCATTTGGTAACTCTGTCTCTTATTACTACTTGTATGAGTAAGATGGATGGAATTTTCTGTTCTTTTTTATACTCAAGAAGCAAAAAGAATGCCTTCTGGTTTTGTCCTTAAATTTCTAAGAGTTTTTTTTTTTAATTTACTGAGATGGAACTATCACTATTAGCAAATAATTTGATACCTTCTCTCAAGTTCCATATGTGATTAACAAAATATAAAAAACATGTCAAGACAGAGTGACTTCCTAATTTTAAATATGCTCATTAGTTGGTCAGATAATATGATACACTACCTACCTGTGGCCAAAGTGTCAACTTAACTTAACAATTTCCTTTGGAAAACTTTCCTGATTGCATTTTTAACATCTTTGTTCCGCAGGCTATAAATAAAAGGGTTTAACATAGGACTCACAAAGATATAAAACACGGCAACAATTTTGCTCTGTTCTACAGATGTCTCAGAAGGAGGTCTCAGGTGCATGCAGAACAGAGTCCCATAAAAGATGGTGACAGCCGTCAAATGGGACCCACAGGTGGAGAAGGCTTTGCGCCTCCCCTCAGCAGAGTGGATGCGCAGAATGGTGGAGAAAATGAAAAGGTAGGAGATGAGAATGATGGCTAGAGAACAGGTGAGATTGAAACCAGCCACCACAAACATGGCAGTTTCTTTGACATAAGTGTCTGAGCAGGCAAGGACTATGAGAGGTGGGTCTGCACAGTAAAAGTGGTTGATTTCATTGGGTCCACAGAAGGAGAGGCGAAGCATCAGGATGGTCTGTGCCAGACCGTTCACAAAGCCATAAATATAAGGGGTGGCAACGAGAGAGAAGCAGACACACCTGGACATCTTGCTGCCATACAACAGGGGTTTGCAGATGGCCACGTAGCGGTCATAGGCCATCACTGTGAGCATATAATAATCGGTGATCACCAGGGCAATGAAAAAGTGGAATTGCAGAAGGCAACCCAGGAAGGAAATGGCTTTTCTCTTGGATAAGAAATGAACCAGCATCTGTGGAGCGACACTGGTGGTATAACAGAGGTCCACAAAAGAGAGATGACTGAGGAAGAAGTACATTGGAGTGTGAAGTCTTGAGTCACTTCTGATTAACAAAATCATGCTAACATTGCCAAGCACTGTGATAAGGTAGATGACTAGGAAGACCACAAAAAGGACAGGCTGCAACTCAGCTCGATCTGTCAGTCCCAGGAGAATAAACTCAGTCACTGCTGTGTAGTTGTTCTTTAACATTGTGTGTGTGTTGCTTCAAATGAGGGCTAAAAGAAGGAAATGAAAATGCATGTCTCTTGTCACATATCTGTTACCCCCATCATGTCATCTGATAAGTCTTCCCTAAAACTTGTAAACATTTGTGACATTAAAAATAGCTTAGTCAGTATGCAATTGATATTTTAACATCTACATTAGGGCAGCTCAGGTGGCTCAGCGGTTTAGCGCCACCTTCTGCCCAGGGTGTGATCCTGGAAACCCGGGATGGAGTCCTAAATCAGGCTCCCTGCATGGAGCCTGCTTCTCCCTCTGCCTGTGTTTCTGCCTCCCTCTCTCTCTGTGTCTCTCATGAATAAATAAATAAAATCTTAAAAAAAAACTACATTAATATACAGCCCCTTTTATAAAGGCAGTAATATTTTAAATGCTTTCCTGAAAATCTTCACATTGAAAAGACTTTACCTTATCTGCAAGATTTATTACATTAGTTCACTTACAATTTCCTTAAACGTTGCTTTTTTTTGGGGGGGGGAGTGGCAATCTTTGGTTTCTTAGTATATTTTTGATGTGGTATATAAATCATCATCTGTTCTGCACAACTGATTCGAATGATGCATATACCTGTAGAATGAGGTTTTGTCCTCCTGCCCCTCTCGACTCAAGATCATTTCAAGCATTTGTTCCCACTCTGCAATGCATGTCCTTCCCTTTATGAGTCTTCTGATCAGGTGGTCCTCATAGTACCAAATCTTACTTAACTTTTAAGATATGATATGCATATGCATATGATTTCCTTTGTTTTGTTTATTAATGGCAAATATCAGGGCCAAAATTTGGTTCATGGGGCACAAAAGTCAATTATGTTTCTGGTATAAAAAAGATACATATATAGTACATAAATATATATGTATGTATCTATGAGATAGATACATACATACATATGTATTTGTGATACCCCTTCATTGGAGGAGAGATTAGGGAAAACATATTAAAAGGCTCCCTGGTATGGGGGAGGAGAAAATAATGAAGAAAAGATTAACAAGCATATTCACACTTTACAATACTTTTATTGTAACTCTACCTCTTTTTAACTCTTACGAAAATTAAGAAAAAATATATAACCTAAATTATATTTAGGTTTTTCAATACATGTAAATGATACTACTGGAATAATAATCATATTAATCATACAACTGAGACAAGACATAAGATACCCTCAAGTGCATCTCCCCAGTTGTCTGTAGGATAAAAATACCATAAAGACCATTGTGGAAAACCTACACCATCCTTCAATAACAAACCCAGGTTTGGCAATATTATGTTGCCTCCTACTAATAGGTACAAAGCCAAGGAAGGACAAGGGTCACTTTGTAAGGCATTTTGTAAATGCCTCCACCTTCTTGTGCATTGCATTATCCAATTCTGCACATGTGGACTTTGGACTTATTTGTCCAGGATAATAAAATGCAAGACAAATCACCTAAATCAATGTAATCATAATTACTTTGTAAATTCTAACCTAACTTCTTAAGATTAGAGTAATTATCATAATAGACAAGTACTCTTTGATGCTGGGATGGCATTTGAATGAATATCTATTTATTGACATATAAATCAAGCATCCATATAATTAAAGTGTCTATTTGTTACTGTGGGTTAATGATGCAATGCAAGCTTGAACATATCAGATAATTTAGCTGAGTACTTCATGACAATGACTTTCCTTTAATGAAACAAAACACAAAGTCCTACATGATTTCAACAAAAACTCAGAGACACATATTTATAGGAAGACAGATGTGGCTCTGGGGACACACAAGGCTTTGCATTCTTGACATTCACCCTCACCCTGAGACTTTCTCAAATAGATGCTTGTGGCACTATTCAGGCACCCAAAGATTGTAGAAGGTTGGTCTATTTTTTTTTTAAGAAGACTGATGTCTCCTGATAGGTGGTTATCATTCAGTTTGAAGTGGAAAAGATTGAGTGAAGGCATCTCCATGAAATGCATTATTAACTAACTTTATTTAAATAATTATTGTAGATCATAAACCTAAGAGTGGCTACTCTCTATGAAGGGGTAAGGAGCATTACACAATAGGATGCTTATAATTATGAAAAGTAGCATCATTACTTTGGAAGCTATTTAACACCACTCCCTAATTTTCTTCATGAAGTAAGAGAAAATATTCATAGCTAGATTTTGAGAGTCATCAAAGTCAACAGATATTGAGAGTCCTCAGTGAGACCACCTCACCAGAAAACCCACATGCTCAATTCCTAGCTATGGGGATTGACCAAGTTACTCATCTCTCTGTGTCTAAATTTCCTCATGCATAAAATTTGGTTCTCATAGCAACTCCCTTCTATGAGGTTTTTGGTTTTTGTTTTTTTTTTTTTTTCAGATAAAACTTCAAATATGTCTGACACATAAAAAGCACTTAATAAGTTGTAGCTATTATTATATTGGGTAAAAAATCAGGTCTCATCTTAAATAAGACAAAACCCAAAGTGTGATTCCAGGGATAAGAGTTTATCTAATCATTACCCATAGCCTCAGTGGCACCTAGAACAATGTTTTCCCAAATGGAGCCAATCAATCATTATATATGGAATGAATATTCTCTCTGGTCAGTTTTGTTTTCATTTGAACTACTACTCTACTGAACATTTATAAATACTTGTACTTTTAGAAGATCACTAAAATTTAAATCAAGGGGTTTGCTAATTCATCATGTTTCAGCCCATAATTTTTTTTGTTGTTGAGTAAAAGATTTATTTCCTCCTTCCAAGATATATTTTTTTCACAATACCACAACCTACCTCTGCAAGAAGTGTGATTTCCCAATTATAGTGTGAATAGAAAGACCTGAGGATTTTATAACAGAATTGTCATTTAGGGATCAAATCCCTATGGTTTAATTATTCCTAGCAGCAAGTCATTCCGACTATGTACAGCCACTATCTTATTCTCTTGCAAATCCTAACTAAGCTCACTGAGAATATGATTTGGATCCACTACCAACAAGGAATCAAATCTCCTGAGAATCATAAAGCAATGGGTTTCATCATTTATTTTAAATTATGGTTGAATATCTTACTATTTTTTGACCGGGGAAGTAATACAATGTGTAAAGTAGAATGATACCTGGTATGTAGAGTGGTTTTGGAATCTGGAATGCCATTGGTAGATCGACTCATTTCTGTTGAACTTGGACAAGTTATTTACTAATTCTGAGCTTTGTGCTTTGACATTTTAACAGAACAATGCTATGTATATACCATGGGAACATTATGGATATACAGGTAATGTAGATGTGCTTGCTGGTAATTCTTACCTCACCCCTTTTGTCTTTCTTCTCTTTCTCCCTTTACCCCCTCAAGTTAAACCCTTATGGATCACACAAATAGAGCTCCTTGGGTGTCCAGTTTCAGGTGAGTTTGGCCAATGCCAGAAACCAGCAGGATATCAGAGGTGGGAGAAAGAGAAAAAGATCTCTATTTACTTCTCATTCTCTCCCAGATGCACAATGAAGGTGCTAGAATGGCTGCATCCTTCCAAGCAAAACTCCTCCTGAGCTGTGTGTTGGGAAAGAAGGTGGCCAGGGACTTGCTTCCTGCTTCTAGCTCTCTTTGGGTGG